GACAGTGGCCAATGCCAGGTGCCCCAGAGGGAATGAACAGAACAGTAATCATCAAGTGAGCCATTCCTTGTCGTCCATTCCCAGCTTCTGGCAAACAGAGGCTAGGGACATCATCCCTGCCCATCCTGGCTAATAGCCATTGATGGACCTATCCTCCATGAATTTATCTAGTTCTTTTTTGAACCCTGTTATAGTCTTGGCCTTCACAACATCCTCTGGCAAGGAGTTCCACAGGTTGACTGTACATTGTGTGAAAAAAAAAACAATTGAAATGAACTATTATAAAACAAAAACGTCAACATTTTTGAATTTTTTTTTTATGAGTTCCACTAATGCATGATACTCATAGTACTTTTACTTTTCTATATGTTCAACTACTTATTAGGTTAAATATTTCTCAGATTACTTGATTTCCCTGTCCCCTAAAATATTAGCCATGTATAGAAACATTAAAATAAAAATCATTCCCTGAAAGCTTTTATTTATGGACTCAGGCCCTGACTCAGAAATGCATCCCTGTTAAAGACAGCACTTAAGCACACACTTAACTTTAATGCTTAAGGGCTAACATGAATAGGAATGGACTTAAAGCATGTGCTTAAATGCTTTCCTGAATCAGGGCCAACATGATCAAATACAGTTGGCATTGGTTTTGTTTCAACTTAGCTGCCATATCTATTTCCTTTCCACCCCCAAGATCCATTCAAAATAGCTCAAGAGCATCCTCTGACTAGAAATTCTCCAGGGACCAGCTGAACCCATTGATCAAGACTTCTGGAAAGACATAACTAGTGCCAAACTTGCCACTGAAGGATAGTGAGTCAAACCTGGCCTTAACAGTAGCCAGTAATTGCTTACAAGTTTTCAAGACAGTTGACAGCAGCAGGATAGGTGGGAGAAAGACAAGGGCGTGATCTCAAGTCTGCAACCAGGTGGTGACTGTCCCTCCAGTTCCGTATCATGACGAAATGCTCTGGGCCCATTGGGTACATGGATACCACTCCCTGTGAGTGACAGACATGATGGCTTTCAACAGAGTGGGGTGGTTGTTAAGCTGTCTTGCAGTAACTCAAGAATGTGAGTACCAGGGCAGACTGTTAAGAACCAGGACAAGAGCCCCAAATTGGCTGTGAGTGCTACACTTAGATTTCAGAAAAGTTGGACATGCACAAGTCCATGGGTCCAGATCTACTGCATCTGAGGGTGCTGAGGGAATTGCCCGATGTGATTGCAGAGCCATTGGCCATTATCTTTGAAAACTTGTGGCCATAGGTGCTAACTTCCCCTCTGCCCCATGGGTACTCAACTCCCCCCGTGCCCCTCGCCCTGCCCCCATTCCACCCCCTTCCCCCAAGTCCTTGCCCCTGCCCCACCTCTTTACTGCCTCCTCCCCTGAGCGTGCCATGTCCTCACTCCTCCCCTTCCCTCCCCGGAAAGTCCTAAGTGCCACCAAACAGCTGTTAGGCAGCGGGTGGGAAGCACTGGGAGGGAGAGGAGTGGGCACGTGGCGTGCTTGGGGGAGGAGGAGGTGAGGAGGGGGTGTGGGCGGGGGGAGCTTGGCTGCCAGTGGGTGCGGAGCACCTGCTAATTTTTCCCCATGGGTACTCCAGCCCCGCAGCACCCGCAAAGTCGACGCCTATGCTCGTGGCAATCAGGGGAGGTCCTGGATGATTGAAAAAAGGCAAATATAGCGCCCATCTTTAAAAAGGGGAAGAAGGAGAACCCGGGGAACAACAGACGGGTCAGCCTGACCTCAGTCCCTGAAAAGAATCTGAATGAGGATGGCGGTAGCTGTGTAGGTGGGAAAAACACTCCCATTGACATAGCGCTGTCCACACAAAGGGTTAGGTTGGTAAAACTATGTTGCTCAGGGGTGTGGATTTTTCACACGTCTGGGTGACATAGTTATATCGATATAGCTCTGTAATGTAGACCTGGCCTTAGAGTTAATATTTCAATCTCTGAATTCCGTTTGGGTGGTGTGAACGGCATGAATCCATGGATTCTTTCATTTCCCAAAAACTTATCTCTCTAGTTTACATCTCATTACTGCTCTGCTCTTATCTTAATTTAAAACCCTGGGTCTGTTAAGCTTTAAAAAAAAAGCAACCCAAAACCTAGCTTCTAATTTCTTAATTTTTTTTCTTTTCACAATACAGTATCTTTCCCCAGCTCCTTGCAACATGAATTAAGGTAGTTTTCTAGGTTTGAATGGGAATACCGTACATACCCTGAAGTGACAGACAGTCACAGAAGACAAGGTGTAGAACAACACGCACACTCCTCCCTCACCCTCCCCTTGCACACACACAAAGAAGAAACATGGTTAACATGGAGAGGACTTCTTGTCCCTCTCAACAGCTCCTTACTCTTTTCCATATCAAACTGATTTGCCCATGGATAGGTGGCTCACTTGATGGACTATGCTGCTGGCCCACTGGCTAACTCGAGCTCAAATCCATGTTCTTGTGCTGATGGACAGCATCATCTATGGCCATGTTTAGTTGTCTTGCAGTTCCACATGCCAATAGCCAGCAAAGCTGATGAGTTCATCAGAACCTTTTGGAAAGCAGAGTTGGAATCAAAGTTGGATTTTCTACTGCTAAATTAACTGAACCTGCATCGAGCTGTGCAATGGGTTGGAGGGGAAAAAAGGACGAATGTCACTGTGGCCAAATCTAATAAAAAACTTAACTATATAAAATTATCATCAGGGTTAAAATAATTATCAGGTAGAGTCCATCGTTGGGCCCTCTGAAAAGTTAAATTCCAGCCTTTTAAAGTAGCTTCACTCCTTTAAGGCTGTGCGCCTCTTGCTGTTCAAAGCTACATCACTCTAACAGAGTAAGCTTACAAGTGCAACAACAGCACTTAGAAAAAAGTAGCCATAGCAATTATACGCCTGCTGAATCCTTGCTACATATAGCACCGAAATGACAGAGGAACAGAAAACTTTCAAAGAACTTGTAGTTCTGGTACCACCTATTGACAAACCATTCAACGTGTCTCTTGATAACTCATGGAAATGTGTCAGTCAATTTGAGTTCTAAAAAATATTTTAGGTATATTTTGTATCACTTGATTTGGAAATTTCCCATCCATATACTGTTAGGCCTGAAATCAGATGAGACAACAACCAAACATAATATTGTTACAACCATCTTCATTGAACATTGTTGAGCCATAATAGTTGATGCATAATAGTTTAAAGAATAAAACCCACTCATGACAAAAGGAAAAGGGGCGGGGGGGGGGGGGAAACAACCATGGCAAATCCTGCCTGAAGCCAACCCACTTTGTTCCCTTTCTAACATTTAAGTGTTGAAATAATAGATTCGTAGGGCTTGAAGGGACCTCAACAGGTCAATTCCTAGAGTCACCAGATGTCCCGATTTTATAAAGACAGTCCCAATATTTGGGGCTTTGTCTTATATAGGCACTTATTATCACCACCACCCTGCACCCCCCCCCCCACGCCTCCTGTCCCAATTTTTCACACTTGCTATCTGGTCACCCTATCAATTCCTCCTTGCACTGAGGTAGGACCAAGTAAACTTAGACCATCCCTGACAGGTGTTTGTCCATCCTGTTCTTGAAAACCGTCAGTGATGGGGATTCCACAACCTCCCTTGGAAACCTATTCCAGGACTTAACTATCCTAATACTTAGAAAGTGTCTCCTTATAATCTAACCTAAAATTAGCTTGCTGCAGATTAAGCCAATTACTTCTTGTCCTATTTTCAGTGGATGTGAAAAACACTTGATTGACATCCTTTTTATGACAGTCTTTATCATATTTGAAGACTGATCACAGGTCTCCCCTCAGTCTTTGTTTCTCAAGACTAAATGGGTCTAGTATTTTTAACCTTCTGCATAGGTCAGGTTTTCTAAACCTTTTTATCATTTTGGTTGCTCTCCTCTGGACTCTCTCCAATTTATCCACATCTTTCCTAAAGTGTGGCGCCCAGAATTGGACATAATACTCTAGGTGAGCTCTCACCAGTGCAGCATAGAGTGGGACAATTACCTCCCGTGCCTTACATACCAGAATCATGTTAATACTCACCAGAATGATACTCCTTTTTTGCAACTGCATCACATTGTTAACCGATATTCAGTTTGTGATCCACTATAACCCCCAGATCCTTCTCAGCAGACATCCGCCCTAGACTTACAAAATGAGTTGCGATCTATTGCCTAGCTCCCGTTCCTCCTCACCATAATAGGTCCTCCCTGAAACCCCCACTTCACCTAAGCCAATATGGTGGTGAGGGGAAAATTCCTTCCCAGGCCCGCTGAAAAGGTGCAGTTAGTGCAATGCCTACAGCAGGTGCTAACCAAACCTGATATTTGCCACCTCAAGGGAAGGGAGGGCGGGTGCTGCCTTACTTGTTGCCTGGAGAAAGGGCTTCTAATACCCAGGCTTACAATTTTTAAAATCTTCTGCCCTTATGTTCCCAGGGGGTGAGTCAGCATCGCCACACTGACCCCCACCCATCTCTCCTTCTGCAGCAGGTAGCTGGCTCCAGGGAGTTCTGGCACTTCCAAAATTAGCATGAAAATTGGTTAAAAAAACAAATAATGGCTTTTTTTAAAACCCTGTGGTTTTTTCATAAAAAACTAGTTAAAACTGAAAACAAAGGACCTTAAATATAGTGCAATAGTCCAGTGTGCCAAAGAGCATGAGGTTATGGCACACAGAAGGGTCGTGGAGAAACTGTGTGAAAGGAAGGAGCTGTGGTAAGCTTAGTGAGTGTTGGACTCATAATAGGAAACACGGGATGTGAATAGGCCACATATCCTTGGGCAGCATGCTGGGTAGGTTTTATTCCTTGCATTTGTGTGCCTTTCTATCTGGCATTTATTATGCAGGATCAGGCCTTTAGTTATTTTATTTATTAATCCCATAGTTATCTAAAATTATAAAATATGCAATAGTATTTTGATATACAGTTTAACATCAGCAAAAAGAAAAGGAATACTTGTGGCACCTTAGAGACTAACCAATTTATTTCATAACGCTCAGTTTTTTGCACGCTAGAAAAAACAAATTCCAGAAGTCAGTGAGACAAAGGCAACTGCTATTCAACAGTGATAAAAGAATAAGTAGTCATAAAATAGTGGTCACAATTGATGTATTTCTCAATATGTAACAGTAATGAAATAGGCTGCTGTATATTTACTAAACAAAGGACGATTATAAAAGGAAACAAGGAACACAGTGGTTATTGTTTAAGTAGATGATGCATTATGGGACATTGTTATTCTGAAATAACAGTATCTGGTGTAAAGAGAAAAGGAGTACTTGTGGCACCTTAGAGAATAACCAATTTATTTGAGCATAAGCTTTCGTGAGCTACAGCTCACTTCATCAGATGTGTGGTTGTGGTGGGTCCTTCTCATACCACCTCCCAAAAAGCGTCACTGTTAAAATTGGTTTAGATGTACCACTCTGACTGATCAAACGTCCATCACTTAATACCTAGATGAAGAAGAGGACAATAAAATGACATCCTTAACAAAGCAGCAATATGACATGGTGCACAAGTGACATGCATTTATAAGGTAAATGTTAAATATTTTGAGGAAACAGTTTAATTACGGAAAGTCTTGAACCATAACATACAAAGCCAAATTGCTTTCTGAGGCCAATTGCTGAACTGAAAGGGCACCAAATACATGTTTTTTTTTCCCCCACTATTAACAAGTTTGTCTTAGGTTTGTTTTGACTTTGTTGCAATATTTTGTTACTTTCCCCTATGAGCCCCCTGGGAAGCTAGTTTGAAGCAGCTCAAATACATCCTCCTACCTGAAATTCGCCGGACGCCAGCTGAACCCCACTAAGCAAGACTTCTGGGAAGACGTAACTAGTGCCAAATGTGCCACTGAGAGAGAATGCTTCAAACCTGGTGTGAGCAGTAGCCACTGGCAGCCCACATGTTTTCAAGTCTGTGCTTTCACACTTCAGTAGTGTGCATATCTATGAGGAAGAGAAAAGGAACGTGCATTTAGGAGAATCGTTTTACTAATAGTAAAATTTGACTGTTTTCTTCAAGACCAGATGGTACCAATTCAGCTCAATTCTTATGCCAACGAACCACTAAGTTACTGCATCAGGAACAAACTTTTTTGATCGAAGGGTTTCCAGCTCTGCAGCTTGTCTCCCTAGCATGTCTCTCCACACTGCTCTCCCCTCCCTCACCTAGTGCACACAAAGGCAGTGGTTTCTCTCTATCAGCTGGTTTTGGCCTTGTAGCCTTTCCAGATCCACCTACCCACTGGATACCTCTGCTCCTGCTTGACACTTTGTCCCCCTTCTTTTGTCCTATTTCACCCTAGACTGTTCCACTTTTCTAGACCTTAGGCACTGAGTCCATGGGTACTCCGGGGCTGGAGTACCCACCAGCCACAGCTGTTTGGTGGCTGACAGAGGGGTTTGGGGGAGGGTGGAGAGCAGTGGGCGGGGAAGGGTCCGGGGAGGGGGCAGAGCAGGGGTGGGAACAGGTGGAGTAAGGGCAGGGCCTATGGGGAGGGGGCAGAGCAAGGGCATGTCCTCAGGAGAGGGGGGCGAAATGGGGGCAGGAAGAGGCAGAGTGAGGGCAGGACCTTAGGGCAGAGTGAGAGTGGAGCACCCCCAGGGAAAACAAAGTCAGCACCTTTGCCCTGGACCCTTTTTTATGCTCTCCCTAAGAGCCACCTCTACCATTTCCACTTGTTCTTCCCACTCCTCCATCAAAAAGTTGACTTTTAACCAATAAAACTGAGACAAGTTCTTTGATGGAGAGCTCAGGCAATCTTATACACATTGTTAGCACCAAAATCACTTAGTGGCCTAGCTGGTGGTCTATCAGATGTTAATTTGGATGTCTCCATCCAATTCTTGGTGGATAGGTGTCTACATAATAAAGCCAGCACCATAATTGACACCCTGTTGCTGGCCATCTCAGCAGAGATTCCAAGGTTGGAATGGGTACAGAGACTGACTTAGCCTTTTATTCCCAGAGACAATCCCTCCAGGTTGGATAACGTGAGGCAGTATAAACTGCTGTAGCCTGTTTTATGGAGAAATAAAAGACTTGGTCCACAGCACTGGACATTCGGCAAGAACTAAAATAATTTTATCAACTGGACCAAACAAGAACTTTGATTCCATCAAAATGACTTTTTGAAAATGTATCAAAGGAGATATAGAGTGGCTAAAATATCAAGACACATAATGGGATTATAATCTGTGACAGCTGGTAAGGAAAGTGGTTGGTGATAGGTAGAAGAAAGTAAATTTAAAAAAGGACCTGTCAGTAATTAGCCAATATAATAGATTTGCTCAAAAAACAAAGGACAGTCCATATTATGTAATGTGACTAAACAAATTAATATTTACAGCAAGATAGCACTTAATGGTAAATCATGGTCTTTCCCAAATGGTTGGTTAACAGAACAAAACATTGGATATTTCCAATAAAACTTTGATACTTTATATATGCTTCATTGACATGACATGGCAAATAAGAAAAAACTCAATCTTTATGAATTCAGCTGAGTAAAATATCTTGTACAGTTGGATGCAATCAACTGAGATTTTAAAAATAATCATCAGATAAAGATCAACTCTGATGAAGGAGACAGAAAAAGATTGTTTCATTCCAATTTTCAAAGTCACTAACAGCATCTCAAATACATCTTTCCGCTATTTATCATCCTGAAGTTGTCTCTAAGACAGCACAGTGGACAATGCAAATGGTGAAATAAAGACGGGAGAGAAAAAGGGGTGAAGAATATAAAGATCTATTCTATCGTGGAATAATTTATTATAATATAAAATCAATTCCCTCATTTCACATGAACTCTGAGTTTGTACCCAGGGTCATTTCAAGACTTGCTATTTTTGGCATGAAGGGCAAGCAGACTCATTAGAAATTACAGCATCAACTCATCACTAGCAACCAAAGGGCCACGCAGGGGAACATGAGAATACATCATTGTCCCTTTTTTCTCCCAGGATCCAAAAGCATCTCCCACGCAAAGAAGCCTCATCAACATATATATGATGTATATGTCCCCAAAAATAAGCTTTACCTGCAAATAGTATTCTCCTTCAACAACATGAAGGCCATCAAAAGCACCCAGCACATAAACTTCATCTTCTCGCTTCTCCGCCATCCTGTAGCTCAAATGACAGCAAAGGTCTTTCTGGCAAACTGTACGATTTCCTTCAGGCTTAGTTAGTTCAGTGAAGGTGAACTTATCATAGAAAATGACTCCACAGAAATCCCAGTCATCTGGTGAGAAACGTTTGACACTTGTGGCATATGCGCTCCAGTTAACAGCAGCAGGGTAGGTGGGAGAAAGATGAGGGTGTGAACTCAGTTCCGCAACCAGGAGGTGACCATTCTCTGTATCCATATTGTAATGAAATGCCCTGGGTCCATCAGGTGCATAGATACCACTCCCTGTGAGCGACAGGCAAAATTTTCAGTCCAAAAGAATCAGCCATTTGAATGATATTGTCCTTTTCATTTTACCCAATGCTGTTCTATTCTATTATGATGTCTAGAACATTACCAAAAATTAACCTCCCAAATCAAACCTTTAAGAACTCAAGTCTTTTCTTAAAATTCCTGGAGAAGGGACAGGGTACATTAGGGTGACCAGATAGCAAGTGCGAAAAATTGGGGTGGTGGGAGGGAATAGGTGCCCATATAAGAAAAGCCCTGAATATCAGGACTGTCCCTATAAAATTGGGACATTTGGTCATCCTAGGGTACATGGTGTTCTTATTGAGACAATGGGCCAGATTCTCCACTGTGGCTGAGATCTCCTCAGCACCACAGAAGGGGGCTGGGGCATGGTAGCATGCAGTGCTGTTAGGAATCCAATTATGGCTCCCTGAGTCTCTGCTCAGCTTGGCCCCACTGCAGAACAGAGCAGCTTGAGGGCTGCTGTGATGTATGCTAGCTGACAACAGACCTAAAAGGGTCATCCACCAGCTGAGAACAGCCAGAGCCCAATGCACTCACCCTACAGCCCTACCCCAGGGCTGGCTATGCTGGATTTACCCCACTTGAGAACTCCATATCAGGGGAATCTGGCTGACCAGATAAAGGCAAACCAGGGAGAGAAAGTGGACCATTTATTAGAGTATTGGATTCCATGCCACACCTATATATTTTCCTGAATCTCTTCACCTCTGCCAATCATAATGGACCATGGGGGACAAAATATCGGATGTTCTCAGCATGACACTCCCGTCAGCACTGTGTAAGAGTTTCTATGCATGGGATGAATCCTATGACAGCCATCCCATATTCATTCATTCATAGAATTTAAGACCAGAAGGCACTATTATCACCATCTAGTCTGAGGCCCTTCAAAACATATGCCTTAGGACTTCCATTCTTGAATTCCTGCTTCAAGTCTATCTGCTGGGGATGAAGAAGAGCATATCTTCTTGAAATCATCCAATCTTGATTTAAAGATTTCCAGTGACGGAGAATCCATCAGAATCCTTGGTAAATTTTTCCAATGGTTAATCACCGTCACGGTTAAAAAATTGTCCTCGTTTCTAGCCTGAATTTGTCAAGCTTCAATTTCCACCCATTGGATCTTGTTACCTTTGTCTGCTAGATTGATAAGCCCTCATATAACAGATGAGGGCGAGACTGGGAGACATCCCTTGTATTTCAGACAACGTGAATACGATCAGTGACCCTCCCCTAAAATCATGCAAGCATGAGATCTAATAGGTTTCAAAATGCAAATGTGGTCCTTTGCTAAAAGATCATATTCCATTTACTTAGTTCTCAGTAAACACAAGGTCACATTGTTTTAAAATAAGTGGGTGAAGAACAGTGCTCTTGTGACAGCCCTGAAAACTTGGTTCTAAGGGGCTGAACATTGCTGAATGGTGCTACAAACTAGTCTTGCGTTTGGTTAGTATAAATGGAATCTTGCATGCTGGTTTTCATTTATTACCCAGCGTTATGACTGTATTTTATAGTAATCTAGAATGGGTTTTGTTCTTTAGCTATTGAAAACTTTGTGTGAACTAGCTGAACTAGAGAGCATTTGAGGGTGAAGGCAACCTAGTGATATGTGTTGAGAAGGGAGATTGAAGAGGACTGTTTATCAGCAAAAAGCCAGATTTAACAGCTCAGAGAAGCCAAGCAAAGAAGCTGCAAGATTTTGTTCATGCACAGCAAGTCAATAAAAAGAACAAAGGAAGTTCCTGAGAAGCTAGGAAGGAGAGAGGAAAAAACATAAAAAGCAAAAACACAGTGAGTTTTGCTCTGTCATCATTTGCCATCAGGAATATCGAAATTAGGAATGAGGCTACCATGGTGGTTTTTGGCTTCAGAAGAAATAAATTGTGCAGCATAAAATAATCTCAAAGAAGAGACAGAGACTAAAGATCCAGTATTACAAAAAGAAAAGGAGTACTTGTGGCACCTTAGAGACTAACCAATTTATTTGAGCATAAGCTTTCGTGAGCTACAGCTCACTTCATCGGATGCATACTGTGGAAAATACAGAAGATGTTTTTATACACACAAACCATGAAAAAATGGGTGTTCATCTCTACAAAAGGTTCTCTCTCCCCCCACCCCACTCTCCTGCTGGTAATAGCTTATCTAAAGCGATCACTCTCCTTACAATGTGTATGATAATCAAGATGGGCATGAAAAAAGTATTACAAAAATAATTCACCTTACCCCAAACAGCAAATTACCTGTCATAGCCATGCTGGTGTTGTGTGTATCAGCCGCAAGGAAATTGACATGCATCCCCATAGCCCAGGCAGAGTGGAATTCAATAGCAGTCAAATGTGGTAGGACATTCATCCAAGCAGTGGGAAACAGCACAGTATCCACATGTGACTTGCTCACCAGAGTCACAGCAGGGTCATGAAAAAGTATGTCGAAGCAAGTGAAAATGCCGAACTTTCCAAAGGATGTGTTGAAAGTGACAATCTCTGGCTCCTTGGGGGAATCAAACTGAGTTTCTGACATAAAGAGATTATACTGACAAAACAAACCATAGGAAGAACACCGTTAAAAGGCACCTAATGCAATAACCTGGAAACATTTTATAAAACTGTTAAAGGTGACCTGCATTTAAAAAGAAAAAAAATCTAAAAGTCTTCATATTGAACATGTAAAGGTATATCTACACTGCAATAAAAAACCCATGGCACCAAGTCTCAGAGCCTGGGTCAGCTGGCTTGGGCTCATGGAGTTTGGGCTGTGGGATAAAAATGGCAGCATAGACATTCGGGCTTGGGCTGGAGCCTGGGTCTGAAACCCCGCAAGGCGGTGGATCTCAGAGCTCAGTCCGAATGTCTGCAATTCCCCACAGCCCAAGTCCATGTCAGCTGATTTGGTCCAGCCATGCGGGGGTGATGCAGGCCTTTTATTGCAGTGTAAACATACTCTACATTTCCAAGTCCGTCCCAATAACCAGTTGAGTGAAGCTTGATCTAACACTCTACTTAATGATATTTCTCTGTCTGTTATGCGATAACTTTTGAACACCACACCTGATCAACTCCAAAATTTCAGGGGATGTTCTAGGCATCAATGGTCAGATCTCTATTGATTTTGGTGAAAATCAGGAAAATCAGAAGGGGGTAAAGGGAGATATATGGTTAGTAGAGCTAGCAGCTTTAACCACATTTGAAATTGTTTGTAGATCAAAGAACTGGTTGATGACAGCCATTAACACCTTCCAGCCTAGCAGCACTCTCCTGCCCCCATCCCGTTTCAACTAATCCTCCCAGTGCAGTTTAAAAATGTTGACACCTTGAGAGATTTCCCTCCCAGACTGACAGAAAAGAACAGTGTAATGTTATTTCTTACCTTATGGTAGCGTGCCACCAATTTCCCTTCTGAGTCAAAGACAACATTAGTATTGTATTGATAGTGACCATCGCTGGGGCACTTGGGATCACTGGAATTACATGGCTTCTTGTCTCCAATATTGGCAACCACATAGATAGAGTTATTTCTTGCCATGCAGCTGAGCCTTTCCTGCACTGCCGCAGGAGCAAATCTAGTTCATTTTTGGCAAAAGGAAAATGCATAAAACAAAAAAATAACCCAGGATCAAGCTAAATTCAAAGCTGAAAAAAAAATGAGAAAATAGGCTTCAAAGTTAATATTTGAATGGCACACTGGCGTTTAGAGCAGCAGCTGTTATGGAGCAGCTGAGTATTAGGAGGCTTTTTATTTTTTAATCCTACAATTGGAGCTGTGCAGGCAGACTATCAGAATTCATGGACAGCTCCTTGACCTCAGTGGACTTCTGCATGGGTGGAAGGAAGGGTCTGCTCTCAATGATCCTACAGCAGGATGGAGGCCTTAGAATGTCCGCTGCGTGGAACAGGGTGTGAATCCCCCTAGGTATTTGTACAGCACCTACCACGATTGCCTGAAACTGGACGGGGGCTATTACAGTAGAGCTGAATGTAGTATGGATTTGTCAGTTCAATTTGAAAGATAACCAATTTTTTCCTAAATTGGTCATCAGATTGAAAAAACTAAAAACGGTTTTCAAATATTTTATGTTTTTGACTCATTTTGTGTTGACTCAAAATGAATTTTTAGTTTTATATTTTGATTCAGATATTTTGGGGTGTTTTCATCATGTATGTGTGTGTTTTAAATTGGCCAAATTTTAATTTATTTTGAAACGAAAAGTAGGAATGAAACATTTTGACTTTATCAAAAAAAATGTTGTTTTTCTTAGCTCTATTTGTCGAGTTTGTGAATAGTTTTAGAGTACCAAAAAATGCATTTTTCAACAAAAAAATCTACTTGTTGAAAAAATTTCTCCCAACTTCGTACAGCAGTATAAATATTTAGCATATAAAGAAATGCATGTTGAATCCCTCTCCTTGCCGTGCTTTTTGTTTAATGGGAAGGGATGGAGGGAGCAGGGCCTGCTTTCCTTATTCTTCAGGTTCCCCCAGACAGTGCACCTCTCTTCACATGTGTGATCATAGTCTGGTTTTTACATTGATCTTCAAAACATGAGCAGCAGCCTTTAACTGTCACTATAAATATAATGCATTATTAAAAAAAAAACAATTAAAACTATAGCCAAGATGATGGCTCATGGGGCTGAGTTCAAGTGTGTCCAAAACATTCATTTCAAACTACTAAAATTGGTTCATCTGCCCCTTTAAAAGAAAAAGAATGGAGAGAGACTTCTGTGGTGCTATTGACTAGCAAATTGTTACACACACACACAACGGTTTCCCTTTAGAAATTCATAGAAATGTTCAATTACACATCCAAAATTCTAGGTACAGCTTCATGTGCTACTGTGTGGCAGCAGGGCGAGTAGGAGAGAGCTGTAGTAGCAGCATGGAAGGTTGATCCTCAGCACAAATGCCCCAGACCTGTGCAAATGCTCTGAGAATTCCTCATGAATCTTGAGACACAGGCAGGATTGAAATATCATGCTTCTTCCCCATTCAGCAGGCTGACAACAGACTTGCGAGTTCAGTACCTGCAAACACGGTAATCAGAGCCTAGGGGATGGTATAATCCCATATAACCCTCATCTTTAAAAGCCTCGTCTTTCACGCAATGGGGACAGAAATGCATGTAAAATTATACACAAAGGTTAGATAAGGAGTCTATATTTTACAAATTGGATTTAAGTGAGATCCTATGTAAACTAATATGAAAGTTAATCCTTTCACAAATATTCTAATCGATTTAGAGGCATGGCTTACATACCAAAAGACATTCTGTCTGCTCCTTCAAACAAAAAAATTAGTTAAACCCACTTAAGGATGGTTAAGACCAATACTCAGCCACGCAAAACCTTAAAAGCAATGAAAGCTCCAGTTAAGATGTATTGAATACACTGTACCCCCCACCACACATACAACACACTGACTGGGGGCGTCAGTCAGCTCCAAGGGGTACAATCATACCCAAGCCCTGGGAATGTATGTGGGTGGCTAGCGTGAGCAACTGCGACCACTTTTAGATCATTAGCTCAAGCAGTGCTAGCATGTGTCTGTCTACCTGCGCTGGGAAGCATACTCTCAGCTCCTGTGCTGACATAGCCAAAGAGACTCTGCCCCTATATGCATACGTCTCAGAAACCTCCAGTATGTTCAGTAACCCATCCCCCACACACCCCATTCCTCGCAATTGCACTATAATGCAAACTTTTAACTCTGACTTCAGTAACATAGACTTCGACAACCTGATAAAGTGTATGTGTTACTTTTCCAATGGAGAAGTTATTGTTCCTGTTATTTTGACCCTGTTACTTCCCCTCCTCTACTTGTTCCTCCTTCTACACTACAAGTACACATCTTTTGTACATACCTCTAAAGCTCTTCATAGCTTATCCCCCACCCCGAAATCTCCATATCTGCACTTGTTTCTTATCATGTTACCCCTTTGCCTCCTCTGTTCCACCAACAATGCCAGTTTTGAAAACCCATGTTATCTGCTTCTCCTACGAGCAGAACATTTTAGACATTCGGTTATTTAACTGTTGTGTACAATAATCTTGGAGTCAAATTCAAAAGACCTCTCAGGTCTTTTGCATTTATCATTAATCCACTTTTCTTCAGACCATTAACACATTATTTTAAAGCTATTTGGAAGACACTTCATAAGGGATACCTTTCAGGGTCAGTGCAGGGAATCCAGTTTACTTGTGGATCTGGGATGTCTTCAAGATAGGGGAAAATGGTGTCTCTTTTGAAGACCCAGCCATAAATGGCATCTTCAGGAGTCACAATGATGTGTGCACCCTGAAACAACAGCTAAATTAAGCACTTACCACCAAGAACAAAACAAATAACCAAGAAAATTAAGAGACAATACCTGTTGGGCCGCTGCTTTGATGGCCCCTTCCAAAACATCCATATTTTTGTTCATTAGCGTCAAAGCCTCGTCAGACGAAACAGGACTCCCAGTGACATCTGGCAATATAACAGAGTGCTCATACACTGCTGCAATGTAGCTGTCCAAGGCAAAGGCCTGAAGGATTGAGAGTATAAAAACCGTAGCATATATGTGAGGCTGGAACATGATCATTGCTGATGCTCAGTGGTAAATGGAAAACAGAGCAAGTTTCTGAAGGGTAAAGGAGAAAAGAAGACATGTGGCAAAGTCCAGCTTTCTTATTAGTTTACTTTGGCAACAATTCTCTGTGAAATTATCTGGGAAAACACAGCATTGTGTAACAAGATTACCACAGGTAAAAAAAACAAAACATATTACAACAAACCATCTACACAGTTAAACAGGGGAGTGATATTCACTGAATCACTGACATGAGAACAACTGTGCCAAAGGGACACACTAAACGACATCTGTCTAGAAATAGAGGCCCAAATTCTGCTTTGCTATAATGTGCAATTCCATTGACTTCAGTAGACTTGTGCAAAGTAGAATTTGTACCAGGTTGGTACTTGGGTCCAGTCCAACTCCCATTAAGGCCGACTCTAGACAAACTTGTGCAATTCACACAGGTAGTAGTTTGAATTGTATGTTGTCTTGTCTTTTGTACCAGCTGCCCTCAGAATAAACATTAACACACAGTTTTGTAAAGTGACAAGGAAGGCCACAGAATGTCTCTCAGAACTGATCCAAGAACACAGAGCTGTCAGGAGCCCAAATTGACAAGAGTAGGCCAACATTTAAACAATTTATGCTGCTCTTTTAAACATAGCTGGGGAACTTAAATACATCTTGAACCAAATCCAGCTCACCTTGCTCATGTGAGTAATCCCAATCTCAGTGAGCAAAATGAAGACAGTTTGGCCTCTTTAGTTTTGTTTACACTAGGGTAGCCAATAAGAACGGGTGCACTAAACCCACACAGAGTGACTGCAGAGACCAAAGTTCAGTCTCTATTTTGGCTAGAGCAGGTCAACAAATTTTCTGACTCATAGTTTTTCTTTGGAAAATGCTGTTTCAACAGAATCCCACTGGAATGTGTTGATTCCATTGAAACTAGCAACAAAATCAGTCAGGCAAACTGACTGACTAGCTTGCCCAGCCTGGTTTCTTGCCAGCCTGCCGGCCAGCTGGCCAAGCATCTAGCAGGCTGCTCAGTTCCCAGAATCCCCCTTTAATGGGTTGTCTGGATGGCCACCTCCCTGGCTGATTTGCTCCCTGCCTAGAATTTTTTTTTTTTTTTTAAAAGCTGTTCTGTGCAAAATTTTTCATTTCCAACTTCTTGTTCCAATTCCAAATGATTTTCTTCTAGCAATGTGAAGTTTCCCATGGAATTAAATAGCCAGTTCTTGCTCATCTCCAATATAGGAAGGAAGGGTTCTGGACTGCAGGGGACAGAACAGACTGTGGCTGGCGAAAGTTTACAGCAGGCTCTCATTGCTGTGTCATGCCATGTTTAATTTAAAATCATTTTTGTTGTTAAATATAAGCTCTCCATACTTATTAAGAATATTACAAAACCAGCGTCGAGCGTGGTTTTAAAGCAGTGCCGAGCACAGTGTGTCTTTTGCTGTGTTTACATTTAAAAAGTTCCGCACTAATTTAGATGCACTATTGCTAACAAGAGGTCTAGACAAGGATGTCAGCTATTCAGTTTTTGGCTGCAGATATGGTCCTTTAAAAAGGAAGCAACTAATATTCCATAATGTTTTTGGTAAGGTAACTTGGAAGCCTCCCTGAAATGAGTTCATTTTTTGCCCTTCAGATTGGCATGGAAAACTGTAAGAACCAGCTGTAGCTCCTCACACTTGGTCAGGTGGCCTAGCCTTGTGGTCACAACAGGTGCAGGAAACCAAGCATTGGAACGAGGGGTGGAGCCAGAGTCAGCAGTCAGAAGCTAGAGCTGAAGGTCAAACTGGAGGTGAGCAACGGAAACAAACAAGTAACACAGGACAAGTCACAGTGCTGGGCATGAGCACTGAGCAGGCAGCGAGGAGCTGCTGCTGGATTAAGAGCCAGCCTGCTGGCCTCTCCAGCCAATCAGGCAGTCTGCTGCAGGCCAGCTGTATTGATGAGGCGGCCTGGAGACTAGCTCTGTTGTAGTCCTTGCTTCTGGACACATGTTCATATGTGGCCGAATACAATGAGTGTTTTAGTTGAATAAAAACAGACAGAATAAAAGGGTAAATTGACAAATTTTATAGAAATGATCTTACTTTTCAAGCTACTTGGTTATGCATACTGTCATGTTCTAGGGTGCAATTCAGAGCAGTGAGAAGTTGTGTCACCACTTGCCCTGCAGCTCTGGTGCCTCACAATGCTTTGCTGTTGTTGCTCCCAACCTGGGATGCTCACAACCAGCCTATGAGCATGCAGGTCAAACCCTGAGTTTCTGTCTGTGTGCTAGACAGCTCTGGTTCAGTGGCTCTGAACCCATCATCCTGTCTTCAGTCCCACTGCCCCACTCGGGCTTCTACCACCCTTGGTTACTACTTGCAGGGTGATCCCAATACACTCCCAGTCCTGGACCTCCCCATAATTGTGTGCTCTGCAATGTCTTGCTCTCGCCTCAACAGTTCAGAGAAATAATAGGGCTCGTTTGTATTTCTAAAGACACAAGAGCACAACACAGCTTATTAACTGGGGTAAATACACCCTTCCATTTAAACAACAGCTCTGGTGCATGGGCAGCAGATATAATAGGCCAGGGAAGGCTAAGCCTCCCCCTGGCAGAGCCACTGCTGCGGGACACCATGTTGCGGGTTTTTGCTTATTATTATGGGCTATGCAGGTTCCGGGGCAGCTGAGGCAGTGGTATCTGCTATTCAGCTTCCTGGGTTCATCAGTATTCTCCCTGGATGCCTCCTCAGCCACCGCAGAACGTCACATATAAAAAGTGCATATAAAAGGTGCATATAAAAAGCTCAGCACTCTTCTGCTGGGTTTCTGGGGGTCTTGGGAGACGAGGAACACTGCCTTTCCCCATTCTCTGGCCTGTGGCTTGGGGCAGCCCAGGACTCAAATTGGTAGGCTGGCTGGCTGCCATGGCTGGGGCCAGTCACCCGGCCAAGCGTGGCTGGGACTGGCCTCTGGCTTGGGTTGGTCAGTCAGCACAGCTGGGGTCAGCAGAGGGCTTCTATGGTGGTGGCGGGAGGGCGGGTTGGGGTTCTGCTGGCCCAGGACATCTCTGTCCGCAGGAGGGGCGTGGGGAGGCTCAGGGCTCCTGCTGTGGGGCTAGCTTACCCGAAGGGGGGGGGGGGGGAGTCTGCCTGCTGCCCATGCTCTGGTGGTTTACATTAATAGTAAAACAAATTTTACTAACAATACAAGATACACTTGAACTCACTTAAAATCCAAGAGATAGAGTTACAAGCTAATAAAAGTGAAAACAGGCATCTAAAAAAGTCTAAAACCTAATCTAACAAGATACAGACTTTTTTCAAGATAGTTTCTCTCACCAGTCATTCTTCTTCTGAGCCATAGCTGAGTTTACCTCAATCAGGACCTTCTACTAAAGTACAAAGGTGCTAGCTTCCCTTGTCTTCCCAGGTGAAAGAGTTTTGCTTAAGCAAGTTTCTCATCTACAGTCAGTTCCAGAGACTTCAATCCCCCTGCCTTTGGTTGAAGTACTTATCTTTCTCATCTTGCAAGAGCTCAGGCCTCTTGTGCCTGTCTTGTGATGGATTTCAAAGATGTCTGTGTCCTTGCTTATGTCTTCCAAAGTTCAAGAGGCAAGATGACCTGAGGATGTTTTTCCCTTCCTGTGGGCTTCCCATCACCCTGTATGATTTTTATGTAAATATGGCTTCCATTGTTTCTGGTTACACCATGCTCCATCATGCAGACAGGTAAATAGCTGCCTTCTCTCCTGTCTGGGAGGGAAACTGTTTCTCCATGTTTGACCACAGACTTTAATACAGAATATAATTAAGTACCCATATTTCCTTATAGTGTTAACACACACATTTCACAGATATTAATCACCAGTGTGCCATTAGCTTTCAGAAAAGTTCTCTCTATACACTTTTATAATACAGTAATGTTGTATACAATCAGTTGATTCAATTGCTTATCACTTGTTGTTCAGCCCCCCGTCTTTATACTGCAGCGGGTATTATAGGCAGGGGAAGGCTCAGCCTACCCAAACTCCCTGCATGGCCCTGCCCACACTCCTCCCCCAGACCTCCTCCTGCTTCCCGCCATGCTCTGCTGCAGCTCTTCCTTCCCCTGTGACCAGGGCCCCAGGGCAGTGGCATGCCCACTTTTGGGAGAGCTCCAACACCCTTGCCCTGGGCTGGGGCTAGTAGGAGCTGGCCTGCAGCCAGGGGCTCTGGGTGGCTGGAGCTGTGCTCATGCTGCCTGCCCACCCAGCATGCTGAGGGCCATGATCAGCCACAGACTTCAACACACCTCTCTGCCTGCCCGCCGCTCTGGGGTTCGGGGCCACGCTGCCTGCCTGGTGCTCCAGGGCTGGGGGAGGGGCCTCTGGGCTCCAGTGGGGGAAGGGGCGGCGCCCCAGACAGAAGGGGCAGGCTGGCAGGGGCTAGCCTCCCCAAGCCCACGGTTCACCCACGCCCATACCAGTAAGCCTTCGAAATGAATTCTTCTGAAAAGTAAAACCCAGACCAAGCTTCTCTCTTCTTCTGGGTATACATGCTGTCTTCTCCGCAACTTCTTATTGTGAGATTTACCTCCATCCCTTGTTAGCTTGATGGGTTTGTTTAATGCTTATATGTAAATTGAGGTAAACACATTTTGTTTAGGATAAACCTGTTTAACAAGTTCCCCTGCCATACCTAGTTACACACTCTTCAGGCACAAATAACTCTTAATACCCATCACATACATACAACACAAAAATATTATTATCACTGAGTTATTAGTTTTCAAATGATACTTCACAAGGCATATCTTTTGTCAAGCTTCCTTCCCTACTCTGAACTCTAGGGTACAGATGTGGGGACCTGCATGAAAGACCCCCCTCACCAATTTGTACAGGTGAACACAGACCCAAACCCTCAGATCTTAAGAACAATGAAAAAGCAATCAGGTTCTTAAAAGAAGAATTTTAATTAAAGCAAAAGTAAAACAAACACCTCTGTAAAATCAGGATGGTAAATACCTTACAGGGTAATCAGATTCAAAACATAGAGAATCCCTCTAGGCAAAACCTTAAGTTACAAAAAGACACAAAAACAGGAATGTACATTCCATTCAGCACAGCTATTTTACCAGCCATTAAACAAAAGAACATCTAACGCATTTCTAGCTAGATTGCTTACTAACTTTTTACAGGAGTTCTGAAGAGCATTCCTGACCTGGTCCTGGCAAAAG